TAAGCTTAAGTTTGTTTCGAGCTTTTTAACATTCAATTTTCGTGTTCTTTGCTCTACTCTTTAACTGCAACTGCAACGTTTATTTATGTTAACTATAATTATAATTAATAATTATTACTTTAAAGGACAGATAGTCCTAGTCGGAAACTCGCAGAAGCCGCGACATATGATGAACCCCTGACCCCACACAGATCCACCCACCACACAGTCACGTTGAGATCTTCACTAATATGTCATTCCATTGCCAGATTGCCGAGTGCATCAACATTATGAACAACATACTGAAGCTGCTGTATCGCACGGATGTGGGAGCCACCCATAATGACATTCGGGATATAATGATCATTCTGCTGCGCACCGTGATGAAGGCGGCCCACTCGCTGGACCGGGACACGGGGCTGGTGGGCAAGTTCTTTGCCATTATGTTGGGCATTCTGCAGCGCATGGATGCCCAGCACTACGAATACTTTGTCAAGGATCTGCATCAGAGGTGCGAGCTGAAGGACTTTGTCATCGAAATTCTGCTGGTGTTCGAGGAGCTGGTGTCGCCGCACCAGAAGGCAGTGTTCCCCAGGGACTGGATGGACATGATCATGCACCAGAACACGGTCATCCTGGGTGCCCTCAAGCACCTCAGTGTGGTCATAACGGACTACTTCCTGTGCCCCTTCGAAAAGCAGATCTGGTCGAATTTCTTCCAGTGCTCCATCGCCTTTCTGGTGCAGTCGCCGCTCCAGCTGAACGACTTCAACGACAACAAGCGGCAGATTGTGTTTGCCCGCTATCGGGACATACGCAAGGACACGGCCATGGAGATACGCAAAATGTGGTTCCAGCTGGGCCAGCACAAGCCCAAGTTTGTGCCACAGCTGGTCGAGCCGATACTGGAGATGAGCATGATACCAGAGACGGAGCTGAGACGCGAGACGATACCCATTTTCTTTGACATGATGCAGTGCGAGTACTACAGCTCGCGGCTTGAGATGGAGAGCTATGGCGACACCAAGTACAACAATGCACACCACAAGGGCAACTTTACGGAGTTCAAGACGGCCATGATTGAGAAGCTGGACATACTGATTGGAGCAGGTTAGTTTAGGAACAAATTGATTCCAATTTCCTTACTTAATCATCGTCTTCATCTTCTTCAGGCAAGGGCGATGCGGAGTACAAGCAAATGTTCGAGGAGATCATGCTGGAGCGCTGTGCCGCCCACAACACTTTAAATGTGGATGGCACCAGCTTTGTGCAGATGGTTACGCGCCTGATGGACAAGCTGCTGGAGTACCGATTTATCATCCAAGACGAGAGCAAGGAGAACCGCATGGCCTGCACCTTTTCGCTGCTGCAGTTCTACTCGGAGGTGGATCTCAAGGAGATGTACATCCGCTACGTCTACAAGCTGTGCGCCCTGCACATGGAATTCGAGAACTACACGGAGGCTGCCTTCACGCTGAAGCTGCACACCGAATTGTTGCGCTGGACCGACACGGAGTTGTCGCCGCAGTTGCGTAGCTTTCGGCACAGCCTATGCCGCACCCACAGGGACCTGAAGGAGGCCTTGTACTTTGAGATCCTCGATTATTTCGACAAGGGCAAGCAGTGGGAGTGCGCCATCGATATGTGCAAGGTGCTGGCCCGCCAGTACGAGGAGGAGATCTACGACTACATTAAGCTGGCGGAACTGTTGAAGCGAATGGCGCAGTTCTACGAGAAGATCCTCAAGGAGCTGCGCCACAGCTCCGAGTACTTCCGCGTTTGCTTCTACGGCCGTGGCTTTCCCCGGCTCCTTCAGAACCGCGTGTACATCTTCCGGGGCAAGGAGTACGAGCGGCACAGCGACTTTTGCACCCGAATGCTGGTGCAGCATCCGCAGGCGGAGCTCATGCAAACACTGGAGGCGCCCGGGGAGGACATAACCCAAAGCGATGCCCAGTACATTCAAGTCAACAAGGTGGAGCCCATTATGGACGCTGCGTTTAGCAAGTTCCACGACAAGATCATCTCCAACGAGATCGTCAAGTACTACACAGCCAACAATGTGCAGAAGTTCCAGTTCTCACGGCCCTTCCGCGACAGCAGCGGTGGCGGCGATGATGTGCGAAACCTCTGGCTTGAGCGCACGGAACTCATCACGCGATTCCCTCTCCCGGGCATACTTCGCTGGTTCCCCGTCGTCGAGGCGATTACGTTTAAGATTTCACCCCTGGAACGTGCAGTGGAGATCATGAAGGACACGAATCGGGACATCAGACAGCTGGTAATTCTGCACAAGAGCGACGAGACGCTGCACATCAATCCGCTGAGCATGAAGCTCAATGGGATTGTCGATCCAGCCGTGATGGGTGGCTTTGCCAAGTACGAGGAGGCCTTCCTCACCGACGAGTATCTGGAGGAGCATCCCGAAGACAAGGAGCTAATTGAGGAGCTCAAAGAACTGATTGCCACGCAGATACCGCTGCTGGAGATTGCCATTATGCTGCACCGACAGAAGGCGCCCGATAGCCTAAAGGCCCTGCAGGAGCATCTGGAGAGCTGCTTCTCGGACATGCAGCAGCACGTGGAGACGCGCTACGGCCGCAAGACCTGTGACCTGAAGATAGAACGCGATTCGGTGGTGATGCGACGCACCAACTCCTTTCTGCCGGCCCTCTTCGATAGTGGTTGCAATCGCTTGTCGGAGACCAGCATGGGATCCTCAGAGTAAGTCTCGAAAGGATCGGCCAACCGGCATACTAATTCCCCGTTTTGTTTTTCACCAACTGCAGCAGCGGTCTGTCCAAGTCAACCATTCTGCCCAGGCCACCGACCAACTCCATTAAGTCCACGCTGGCCAGCCTGAGTTTCAACGCGAGGTGAGTGGCAGCATCCCGGAATGTATGAAATGGCATCCCATCCTAACCAGAAACCTCTTTTAACTCCTCTCTCTCTTTTGACATGCTATTTGCTGCTTTTAGTTTGAGAATTTAATTTTGTTTTGATCGAATTTGCTTTTACTTTTATTTTACTTACGTTTTGTTGCTTTGCTGCTGCTGTTTCCATCCCCCAGGCCCAGTTTGGGACACTCGCCCAGCACCAAGAGCAGCAAGAACAAGGACAAGACACCAGCCAAGCGGCGTTCCATGAAGAAGGTAAATAAACCCATCAATGCTCTACCTTACAATCACAACTCAATTTCACTTTCTCTCTGTTTTTGGTAGGATCGTGAAGCGCTTAGTTTTCCCAGCAGTCAATGGTATACGCCACCATTGACCACCATCACCTCGACGCCCGAGAAGGAGATCAACATGTCTATTGGCTCTTTGGCCAGTGCTTCAAACAGCTCGTTAAGTGGTCCCAAAACACCAGATCCTCATGTGCTCACAGAAGAGGTAAAGTTTGACTCCATACACCCAACATTTGCTCAACTATCTGCATTTTTAGCTCACACCAAAGCGACCTCTGCGCTCGGAAAAAGACAAGGAACGTCGCCACTCTAGGCCTGCCAGCATTGCCACGCCCACGGCCAGCATCAAGAACTTCCCGAACGACACACGCTCCCTGTCCGAGAGCAGCAATCGCAATTCAGTTGGTAAGCTAAAGACCAGTCTATCTGTACAGCAGGGATAACGATCTTGCTTTTGGGTGTTGCAGAAACGACAGATTCCACATCGGAGGAAGACATTCGACCACCGCCATTGCCGGCGAAGACACGCGACTCGACCGATTTCACGAGCTTGTCACACAGCATGGACTGGGCACCGAATGGCTATGCGATGCTCAGCACACAGACGAGCTTTACGAGCAACAGCAGCAGCACGGGCACAAGCACGACCATGACAAAGACCAGTATTACAAACAGCACCTACGAGTATTTGGAGGCCACGAACTTTAGTCTGGTGGGTGCTGGGGCTGCCTCACCAGATGGCAGCAAGCCGCGTCCACCAACGCCGCCACCGAAGCCATCGCGGCACAGCAAACACATTCCATAAGGGCCAACGAATCCTGCTACCAGCACCAGCGCAAGCGCCATATAGATACATATGTTTAAGCGTTGTCTAGTGCCAAATATTCCTGTTACACATAGCATATAGAGAGCGTCAGCCACAACGATCTTTGCCTCAACCACTTTGAACGCCTACCAAATAGCCAACGGCAGAGAGAGCCAGCCGCAGAGCACGGAATCAAGTGTCTTAACGAACGATCAGATGTATCCGATAATTAATAGTGTTTAGGTTAAGTGTTTGCGTTAAGTGTTTCAAATGATATTATGTTGAACATGTCATCATTTTCTGTTTAGTTTACAATTACCCCACTGCTTGTCTTCCACAAGTTTTAGATGTATATTTACACGTAAAAAAGCCAGATTCTGATTCAGCAATATGGAAGGAACAAACAAGTGCCACAATCTTTTATATATTCGCAATAAGCATATGCATGCCTAACAAATCGTTTTTATAGCTGAATTGTGTGTCAATTATCAAATACGAAATGCGTTGAGCATGTTTTTTAAAACATTACATTAGAACAATTTTTAAAGTCAAAGAGCGTGAACTATTTACAATGTTTTTTATAACATGATTCTAAATAGAGCCATAAAGTAGAGATCTAGCATATATTACCACATATATAATCCACTTGTCGCACGGCACTCCAGATAAGTTTCTCGAGTGTTTGGCTGAGTGTCAATGTATTCTAATTCTAATGTGAACAAATCAAAATTTTATAATTTCAATTATAATTATAAACAACAATTCGTGTGTAATTACGTACGTATTTTGCGATCTGTGTATCGGCCAAAGATTAAGCAATAATAAACGTATAAATAAGAGTACAAGGCAATCGATTTACTGGTTAAACTTAACCCTTTTTGAAGTTCACCAATCTCAATCACATTCAGCGCATTTTCGCGGGGAGTACGCATATTTCTGGTCGCATGTACAGCGTACAAATGTCGCAGCATTTCCACAACAGTAATGGAACACCCTTGAGTATCACAAAAGTCAAAAGTTCCGTTTGAATTTGTTAAATATTAAAAGTTTATTCAAAACATATAAATCGTTGGGGTTGTTAAGATTAGTAAAAAAGCGCGAAACCTGTTAAAATGAACACATTATCGTAGGGCGGATAAGGTTGATGTCAAAATGCCAATAACAATATATAAATAATTTATGGTATAGATACCGGGGATTAAATATATCCTGAAAAGGAAAAGTCTTAAGCTTATAAGAGGGTAAAATGGCTTTTTGATTTCATTCTGAAAAGGCACACAATAATAAAATAATACAATTTTAGACGAGGTTAGGAGGGAGGGTTAGAACTTTGGAAATGCATGGAATGTTCGTTGTTGTTCAGCGACAGTCAGCAGAGTCCTGAGCGGAGAGATTTGAGACCAAAGACAGCAGCCAGTTAGAGAGCTTGGAACTCCTTTGTGAGCTTATCAAATGTTTAAATTCAGATCCACGCATATCTTGGAGTTGCGATTCTGCTTCTGACTTATCTCCAGTACTTGGAACATCTCCTTGAGGGCCTCGCTGGTGCCAGTCCTGCGGCGATTGCGTCGCCGTAGTGTAACGCCTCCCGACTTGAACTCCCGCACTAAAGCGTCAAGACCTGCAAGAGTACAGAGTGGAATGGGGTGAGTGTAATGCTTGGCCAGGCGCTCGATATTAGCCAATAAGTCGCTACAGAAGCTTATCTAACATGCGGTTAGCTGTTAGGGTGGAGCGGGGAACGTACCGTAGCCCAAGGAGAAGGTATACTCACCTTCTCTCTCTCTCTCTCTCTCTCTCTCTCTCGCCTTGAACACAATCAATGAAGAAAGTGCTGGACTTTAAAATGGTGTGGGAGGATGGGTTCTATGGGGTCTTGGGTATGGCATAAATCACGGACAAGGCCGGAACGGGTTGCCACTCGACAACTGTCACTGGCGACAAATGAAGCTGAAGACGCATTGACTTGGATTCAAGAAAGTCAATGAAAATCTATGGTCTCCCCCACACGCACACTTTCTCTTGCTCTTGCTCTCTTGCTCTCTCTCTTGCTACCGGGTGTGGTGTGTGCTTGTGGAGGATGGGCAGCCAAGGTTTGTGTATAAGAAAAGTGGCGCAATAAAACACGGAAATATAAAACGCACAAATAATAATAATAAGCCATAGCCCAAGACAACAAAGCGAGCCTGAGGTTGCGCGCCTCCTCCTTGCACACCCAACACAGTCCAGTCCAGTTGTGGACTGGCCCCTTCTCGTAAAAATAATAAATTGCGTCCTCTCCGCCATACCCATCACCATCATCATCATCATCGTCGTAGTCGTAGTCGAATTTGATACGGCCCTGCCTTGTGCTGACAGTTTGGGCTGGGGAAGGACGCTGGATCTGGGACGGGAGGTAACATAAAGCTATGAAACGAACAGAAATATATGAAAAATGTGAAAGCTTCGCTTGCTTAAAGCCAGAATGAAGGCAGGCCATAGTTGGAGCACGTTCCCTCCACGTTGCCAAGGAATGGAAGGAAGCCAAACAAAAAATCTCCCACATTTTGCTCCAGTTCCCAGATTTTCCAGCTTCAGTTGGGTTCATGGCTCACTGGCATGGTAGGGCATTGTAGGGCATGGAACGGGGCAAACTCAAATCAAATTTAAGTTTTCAATGCATCCCGTGAAACCGGAAATGGCACTCAGCCTCTGTGTGTCTGTCACCGGCTACTCCGTGTGTGTTGGAATTTTTCTACTACTCCCAAATAAAAAATAAAGAGAAATTTCTGCTCTGCGGAGTATCCGCCGCTGGGGGCTTAGCATGGGTATACATCCGTACACAACGATTTGGCACAGGGCAGGTCATGGAGAGGCCATTGAAAGTGAAGCTGTTGGTAGTAGCCATGGCAGCAGCAACAACAATAGCAACTACTTGTTGTTATGTATGTCCAGGTATATATGTATAGGTTTATGTACATATATGTATGGGGTGGAGGCAAAACCTCGCTTCGCTTTATCCATCTTCTGCAGACACCTCACCATGTCCCGTTCCGCATCCCTTTGGTTCATTTGTTTTTGCCACGACAACGAGCAGAACGACGACAACTACGACGAGGATGGCTTTGACGAGTGCGACCAGGAAACACGAGCAGCAATGATGCCTAGCTGTAAAGCTGATGTACGGCACGCTGCCAGCTCAAACGCTTCATGGGCCTCAAGAGACGCGCGCGCGCTCCACGCTCCACGCTCCGCTCAACACTCATAGTAATAGCGGGCTCTATACCTCGTATATCCGCGCATATATATCGCACTATATATAAATTTATAGTATTATATATATCCTGTACGTTTCGGCATTTTTTGGCTTCCAACAATACGCGCGTTGATTGATTTTGATTTGAATGTGCGCTCGTTATGCATGCAACGCGTTGTGCGCGCCAAAAAGTAGGCAACTCTAGGCGCAACAGCCAGAGCAACAAAGCGGAAACGGAAATACTTAGTGAAAGAGCGCGCTGTCTCTATACATATGTGTGTGTGAGTGTGTTTGCATCTGTGTGTTTGCTGTTTGTGTGTGAGAGAGTGATAAGCATGGCCCTGACATTGTCTGAGAATGTTGTACGGGTAAGTGTAAGTGGCCCTTGCCAGGCGACAATTTCATGTGACTGATGTGAACAGATCTTCCTACGTATTAATGGAAAAATTATGGACATTCAAGTTTAGTCGCTGTCTGAATCGATATTTCATATATTTATACAAGTAGATACATATTTGCCTCCTGGCGGATGGATGCATGCATAATATAATCATGCACTTTCCTGGCTTGCTCTTGCTCCATCCTCAAACACACACGCACACAGAGAGAAAGGAGAAGAGCAATATACTCGTATATGTTGTATGGTGTTTGCCTTCGTACAGAACAAACCATTTACTATGTTCTGTTGCACATGCGGGTCTATGGATTTGCATTTGATTTCGCTTATCAAACAAGTGTCATGTGCCATGATGATATCTCAATCTCTGCTCCAATCCATAGCCTCTGAATTCCCCCAGCCAAGTTGAGGCGCAGTTGGGTGGAGTCCAACAATATTTCTTACAATTGTTTCAATCTAATAAAAGCGGAAATTAAACGGCAGCAGAAGGCCCACAAGTGCACAACTCATAGCCATACATACATATCTATATGTATATGCTCGTATATCGCCCCTGACTACATCAACGTATTGTGCGGGAAAAATGTATTATGAAGTTATGACAAAAATAATAAAAGAGCGAGCAAAATGTGAGTCCATCGCACACACACAGCAGGTGGAAAATCCAACGCTAATTAGGTTTTCACTAACTTGATTCCTAGAAGCGAGCGCGTGACACAATAACGATCCCTACAGCGATACAAATTAACTTACAAAGGCTACAAATAAATGGGACTTTCCAATTCACATTCGTACTCGTACTCGTCCTTGCACACCCACACACGATGCGACACGTTGATGCTCCTCGACTCGAGACGCACAAGCAGAGGCGGCAAAAGAGAATGTCCAAGAATCCAAATTTAAATATTCTCTGACTAGATTTTACATCATTTTCACTTCGAGGCTTTAATTTGCAGCGACTCACGGCCTATTCCAGGCCAGCACGCACCTGCCCTGCCCTGCCCTGCCCTGCCCTGGCCTGCTTTTTGCCCACTTGCCCGTCCATTCTCATTCTCCTCGAAAAGCTGCTCGCAAACTTAATTAAGAAGTTGCTGCTGCAGCAGTCAACAATGGATGCTGGATACAGCATACGGCGTACCGGGGAGCGAAGCGGAGAACAGAACAGGGCGGGTTGGTTCGGATCGGATCGGGGCGTATGCAGTGAGCCGTAAAAGAAGCCGACACGACGTGTAGGTAAAATCAATTACAATCGCAGACGGGTTGCCATGTTGCGTTTGCCGTGAGCCGGAGCTAGAGCAGCAGCAGCCGTGGCGAGTGAGTGGCGTGAGGCACAATTGACAATTGACAGCAACAAGTTGGGGCACTTCAGCCTTCACCCTTCAGCCAGATTTCCCGGCCACCACCAACAACAAAAAAGGGTTGCCCCTTTTGCGTTGAAGGCCTGCTATTGTTTGGAGCCGGACACGCATGTTCTCAGCTAATCCCTGGCTGCCTGGCAGTGCGTTGACAAGAGCCTGGCATTTTTTTGGCAGTAAAAGAAAACCCAACGAAGCGGCTTAGACTCAGGTTGAGAGCTGGTAGGCCCTTCAAATGCTTCAAGTATTTCGCAGACTTTTCCACTTTCCACTTTTGCATAGTTTTGCACATGTTTGGACCTTGCTCTACTGCGCTTCTAAAGTTTTGAACAATGGCTCTAAAAACTTGATCAATGCTTAGGGTCCAATATCGATTCGGACAAATTGGGCTTATTAAGAGGAAAGGGACAGCTTTTGGGCAGGGAGTGGGGTTGAAATTGACTCTCCAATGGATGCTGGAGTGGTGTGGCGGGGGAGTCTGTAAAGTGTTTGTTTTTCGAGCACTTGGATGTGTACATACCTGTTGCTGCTTCGGCCTGTACCTGATGCTTGACGTTATCTATTATCTTATCGCTGCCCCTGCGCAGGTTGTGGCCAAGAATGTGATCGCTGAAGCTGCCCGCATCACCACCACCTGCATCTCCACCCAGCCCCAGTCCGACCTTCGTCGGTGCCGTGTACAACAGTTTACCCGGCATAGGCGGTGGTATGGGCGGAGCCGGTGGTGGCGGTGCTGGAGCCACTGCCGGTGCCTTCGCCTCCGATTTGTGATAGTTTGCCAGCTGCTGTTCGGCGAGGTCGGCACGCGTGAGTGCCTCGCGCAGCTGCTCCTCGAGTATCTCCAACTTAAGTTGTAATTTTTTTAGTTCATCGTTAGTAGTTTTTGCTATAGCCGCATCCACTAGACTTTGCTACAAAGGCAAGAAACAGAGAAAACGAGAGGGTAGAACGGGCGGGGAGCGAGCAGGAAGAGGCATGGGTGTGGGGTGTGGAGGGTGGCAGGGTAATGGAAAATTAGTAGATCAATCAAAGCATCTGGTTGGGGTTAAGTTAGTGCAGAGATAGACAGAGGCCGAGGCGGAGGCGGAGACGGAGGCAGAGTGCAGTTAGAAGCGACGCAGAGCAAGCGAATTGCTTACGTTTCCCAGACAGATGTTGGATGGGCCCCAGGCACCAAATGATTGTGTGGGGGGTAGGGAACAACAACACACCCAGCAGAAGGCAAACAGGGCGACACATTCCCATGCACTTCTCATATGTATGTCTATTATTGTGTGCCATTCAGTTGCTGCAGCTACAGCAGCTGTGTTGTGCTTCAGTTGCCGCCCTTGAATATATTCGAGAGCGGCTTGAAAATGTCAAACACGCTGCGTGCTTGCTAATAGATCGATAGGAAAGATATAGTGCGGATAGATAAATAGATAGATAGATAGATAGATAGAAATAGTACTCGTGCTTAGAGGCAGAGTGTGCAACCAAAAGACCGCACTAACCATTTCCACAATGCGCTCGTTATGTTCGCGAGCCTGCTGCTGCACCTGATCCTGGATCTGCTCAAATTCGGCCTGCTCCTCCTTGAGACTGGCCCTCGCTCCGGGCTGTCCATCGGTTAGATCGCGTGTCTTGGCAGTGAGCTCATCGTTGCGCTGCTTCAGCTTGATCAAAGCACTCTCCATTCTGCAGGGTAACATATTTGTATTGTATCATTACTTTCATGATTAATAGATTTATTTTCCTTACTTCTGACTGGTCTCCACACTCTCCTTCATGTTCTCCGTGAGCAGCTTGGCCACCTTGGTCAGGTTGGTGTTCTCCGAGCGCAGCGTTTCGTTTTCCTCCTCCAGGGAGTGTTGCTAATCACAAGGAAAATCCGTAGAGGATTTTGCTTTTATTTATTATTATTTCTGTACTCACATGCTCCAGCAGTTCGGCCATCTTCTCATTGGCCTCGTACAGCTGCAGCTCCACGGCATTTGTGGCGTTCTTGAGCGACAGGAACTCATCCGCCAGACGCTCCACAAGGCCGCTGGTAATGGGCACACCATCAGCATTCACATCCACCAGGCTGTCAAAATCATGATGTCCGATGCTGTCTCCGCTGTCGGTGCTGCCCTGCTGCAGTATCTTGAACAACTTTCGCTTGAGCTCTGCCGAGCCCAGCACCAACTGGGGGCTCTGACTGGGAGTGGGCTCCTGCTCTTGCTGTCTCTCACGCATGTGCTCCAACTCGCTGGTTAGACTATGGGTTGAATTGAATTTACATGGAAATTCCACTAGATTGTTGTCCGATTTGACTCACTTTTGTATTTGATCGACCTTCATTTTGTGCAGCTTGTCCAGGGCATTGCGCTCGTTAAGGGCCTTGCTGAATTTGCCGCCCAGCTCCTTGATTTGGGTCTCGAAGTTAGCCTGTTGCTGCTGCAGTGCCTCCAGCTGGATGCACAGCTTCTCGTGCTGGCTCTGCTGTTCCTCCTGTGTGGTTTTATCTGCAAATCGATTAAATTATGGATTACTCAGCTCAGATTTGATATCATTTGCTGCACAAACGCGTTTCAATCTCCATCTTGAGCGCCTTATTCTCCTCCTTCAGGGCAATGTTATCCTCCAGCAGAGTGAACATATCATGCTCGGGATCCTGTTCATTGTAGTCCGGCTCCCGAACGCGACTTCTGCTGCGTGTCTTCGCCTCCTGGGTGCGGAACTTGGCCACCGGTATGCGTCCGCGTCGCTCCATCCTGCACTACTTCACTGCGGGTTAGCGAAAAATAAGGGAAATATAATTATATATTTGCTTAATTGGTCGAACTTAGACTGTGCTTACGTTTGTCTCTTACAAGCCTTATAGCGTTAGCGTTATCCTTAACCCTTATGATAAGCAAATGCGAAATGTATCTTAAAAGCTGCCAGTCACCAACAAATGCTGTACGTGAATATGTGTGTGTGTGTATGGGTATGGGAATGTGATAGTGTGTGTGTGTGCTGCATGCATGAGTGTCCTTCCTGGGATATCCGTTCCCTCAAAGTGCTGCACATCATCCCACATTGAAAACGACTTGCCATTTTACTTCTTCTTTTTATTATTTGCAGTTTACACAGTTTTCTTTTTAGTATTTTTCCGTTTACCCCGCCCGCCTTTCCCACTCCTGTTTTATGGGTATTTCTGTTTTATATATAAACTTTATACTTTATATATATAGTTGTATTTTTTGTGGATCATTTGCTTATTTGGATCTCTTTATTTTCTCTGCTCTGCTCTGCTCAGCTGCTGAAAGTGTGAAATGTATCTCAGAAGGTGGTGGCCAAAACGCATTTGGAATGCCTGCCGAAATGTTGCTACGAAACTAAATGTTCCACTCGCCCCTCAACGCTCAATGTGTGGGGGTGTGCGATTGGAGAAGCCTTCTCCTAAACAGTGTCTTAGCTTGGCTTTAGAAATAGTTTTGCTTTTGAGTGCAGAAGCGTTTCATTTTTGTATGTATGGTATCTTCCTGCTGTTAGAATTATTATTAATATTCTTAAATATATATATTTTTTATTTGTTGTTGGTTTTTGCTAATTTCTTATGCATACAACTCCCTATAACTCTCCTTTGCCTTCGCCGTAACTAAAATTTCACTTTTTTCTTGTCACTTGTAGTGTAAAAAATAAAAATAAAAAACAAAAGTTTGTACACACACAAAAAAAAAAGTCTAGAGTTTCGTACAACTAATTTCATTCGCTACTCTTTTGCTTTTTGCATCCACTTTAAATGTATTGATGTATACATTTTGGAGATTTTTTGTTTTTTCTCTCAATTTTGTTTTTTACTCAATTTTATAAAAATAACTAATCGAAGGCGGCTTAGAGCTCTTTGTGTTTTTTCTTTTTCTCTTAATGATGTTGTGAGTGGTTTCTATATGCTTTTACATTAGATTATTATTTATGTTCTTTTTTTTCAACGTTTGTTTTGCTCTCCTTCTTAATTTGGTTTAAATAGCTTTATAGTTAAGAGGGTTGCTTGTTTCTTCTTCATAGATGATTCGCTTTTAAGAATAGTGTATTTTTTCCTTCCTTTTTACAGCTAATTTCTTTAGATTTATCTTTGGATAATCATCATGTATCATGTGTGTTTTTGTGTTATAAATACTTTACATGTCTTTACTTTTAATTTGTTTATAATTTACAACGTCTTCTTCTTTATACGTCTGGTATACTTCTCTTTCCTTCTCTTTTCTTTTATTTTCCTTTTTTTTTGCGTATAGCTTATTATTTGTTATACTTTATTTGTTGCTTTTTTTTTAATATACGTGAAGTTTTTTTCTTCGAACAGTAGGGAGACCCCTCAGGATTTGAGGTTTTAAATACATATCTGTTATTTGAGATGAGAAAGTGTTAGGGTGAGATTTGTTGTAAGGAGAAGGTTAATTTATCGGTTTCAGTTTCATTTTGAGCCGTTTTCGTAGAAATCACAATAATTAAAAGTAGGTAATAGTTTTTTATAATTATAATAATAAATCAAATAAAACAAAAACAATGCAAATTCATAAAGCTTTGTACTGAAAGGTAAAAACTGAACAAAACGTTTCGATTAAGGTCTAGAAAGACGCATATGCAAAGGCTTTAAACGATAGAGATGGCTTAGGAAGAACCTTTCGGTGTTCTTCCCTAAGCGGAAACACAAGTTTTGTTTTTTGTTTTTGTAATAATCAACGAAATACTGTGGTTTACGAAAACGAAAAGATCCGTAGATATCCTATATCCTATATATATGTCAAATATATGTATGTATATGTAAATCAGTTAATGTTTCATTTACCCTGCCTTTCACTGAACTGGACTTGAACTCTTCAATGGGAGATTCTGGGACCATTTCATTTTTGTTTAATTTTCTTTTCCATTACTTTTTATTTATTATTTATTTGATTTTCGATACGGGTTTGTGTGGGTTCGAAGAAAAGCGTCTTAGCATCTCATTTAAGGAACGTATTGTGATACAAATGAAAATCAATGGCTGGCTTTTCTGTTGCCAGTCGATGCTGTTGTTCTGTTGTTTCGGTTGTGTGTTTAAAAACCAATACATTTGATTCGATTCGATTAGGTCAAATTATCATTCGTTGTCGAATGGTTTGGGAATCCCCCATGTCATTATAGATTGTTAAATGTTTTATCTGAAAATGTGGTGTTTTTGTGTTGAATCGTCTTTGTTCTTGGTACGTATGCTGTACGTATATTTGCTGTTTGTTCTCTTTGGTGTTTTATCTAAAGATCTTCGATGAAGCTGCGCAGCTTGTCAATGAAGGGCCTTCGGTTTCTGGATGAGTGTTCGACCTCCAGCTTGTACCACTTTTCGAAGGACTCCTTGGGTATCACCTCGGAGTCGTACAGCACGCTGAATGCATTACAGATGGTCTCACAGGCGGCCATCTCGTCCTCCAGTTCGGTCATGAAGTGCTCCTGCAGTGAGTTAACTGTCGCATCGATGCAGGCGATATCCAGCGGCTCCTTTGCATCGATGCATAGCCGCAACAGGGGCGTGCATCGGTTCCTGAAGCACTCGGCGTTTAACTGAAGCGATGTTGAGCTGTTCTGCGAGCCGCCCTTGCCGGGTGCCTTGTTGTTGTTGGTTGTTGCAATCACAGTTAGTGCGATATCACAGCATAGAAATCGAGTGAGCTCCCTCACAAAGTCGACAGTGATGCCCACATTGGTGTTGATATAATCCATGGCCATGTCGCCGGACTGTCCCAGCAGATATCTGATTCGCACCACATGATCCTCCGGGGAACGCTGCAGCGGCGTGAGCTTCACTCGCTGGCCTCCACCAGTCTGACCCTGGCTGGGCTCCAGGAAGAAGAATTTGTTCGACTTGACAAAATCGCGATGCTTGCGACAGTCGCCCCAGAACATCTGGCCGCGATCCAGCTTGAGATCGCTATGCCAAAGCTTTCGTATGTAGCCAGCACCGAATTCACGCACAAAATAGTTAACGAAGGCAAACACAAAGCACTGTGTGACTTCGAAATTGTCCTGCCAACGCCGCTGCCAGACATCCTTGAGGTTCAGACGACCCGCATGCATGATGGGGCCCACAAATTCGAACAAATATCCCATGCATTTGGGCACATCCACCAGCAGTTCTGGCAGACCTTCGCCAAATTGCGCATATGCATGAGCAAACGTCGCCTTGTCCACAGCGTCCTTAGTCATCAGGAAGGCAAAGACATTAGCACAGGCCAGCCTCTGCTGCTGCCTCACTGTCCCTTGGTGCAAGTAGTTTCCGAGCAGGTAATGCAGCACGGCAGAATGGTGTTTCGACTGATGCGACCGCCACATTTTCAGCACTTCTGGCTGCCAGTTGCGTTCGTTGATGGCCTCATCCACTAGTTTAGAAATCAGCTCCTGGCACTGTTTCGCATCCAAGTGTGCGTGGTTTTGTGACCGTTCCTGGCTGCTATTTCTATTGCTGCTCGCTGGTTGTGGGGCAGCGCCAGCCGACGATGGCTGCGACTGCTGTTGCTGATAAGGCGCGTACGTAATGTTATGTCCCCCGGAGGTTGCGCGCTTCAAAAGGCTGGTGGGTGGTCCACCCGATGAGGTGCCACTCCCCGGACGATTGCGCCACTGATAGTGCGACGGATTGCCCAACTTGGCGCTCGAGTCATCGTTTGCGTTGCTGGTGTTGAAGCGCAGCTTATTGAGATCTATGCTGAGGGCTTGGTTGTCCTGTTGCTGTTTGTTGGGCATCTTTTGCAGAAAGTAGTTGCTGCTGTCGTGGCCATGGCCCCCGCTGTGCTGATGCTGTTTATGCTGCTGAAAGTTGCCCGCCTGTGAGCCCGAGTTGCCTCGTCCCCCATGCTGCTGCTGTTGATCCTTGGAGTCGTCGTGCTGCTGCTGCTGCTTGTGCCGCTGACGGCCGCTCAGTTGCTGCGGCGTCACAGGCTGATCCCAGTTCCGCCCGCGAAGATCCAGCACATCTTGCATCATGAAACGCACGCGGCTGCTGATCTTGAACTGTGGCTGGCGATGCGCCGTGCCACGTGAGCGATTCACAATGTCCTGAATGCGCCGGAATATCTTCTCGTTGCGATCCCTCAGCTGGTACTGGTCGGGTAGGGTGCTCTCCAGCAGGTGTCCCACTGTTGTCAGCAGCTTGCACATGTACTCGAGCTTCTCCTCGCAGCCGTGCTCCAGCAGCGACTCCACGCAGTGCAGCACACGGTCGCTGGTCAGAGACTGCAGCTTGTAGAGCTCTCCAATAAAGCGTACAGTACCCCAGGCGCGACGCCGGAACTGATACTCCAGATCCTCCATCTCTGCACGCAGCTCCGCCTTTCGTGTGGCATCTGTGCTCTGATTCATTTTATCCAGTGTAGGCTGCAGTTTCTTTGTCTTGGCATTTGCATCGTTCACATTTGACTCGAACTCGTGCTGAATGCGAGTTATCAACGAAGACGTGAATAGCGACTTGTTCTCGGCCTTGATCTCGTGGAACAAAACTTTGCAGAATCGCGCATATGTGGGTGCGAAATTTGGCTCACTGATGGTCTTCTCAAAGATCAGCAGCATCACCTTGAAAGGGTTTTAAGTAGAAGCTAAAATTATATAAATTATATTTATATATAAATTCTTACATTTGTCATTTTGCTCTCGGTATCCATTTTGATGCTGGACATCTCCTTGAGCAGAACATCAAAGTTATCCGGCGTTAGCTTGTTCAGTATGCCGCGCACCTTCTTTAGGACACCATCAATGTCGCCATCATCCTCTGAGCCACCGGCACTGGCACTGGCACTAGCACTGGCACTGGCACCACCACTCACTGCCGCGGGTGCCTTACGACGCAAAGGCTCCGGCTGCCACGCATTCTCGCACTCAGACAGCTTGATCTCCTCTTTAAGCGACAGCTGCACGCGTATAATGTCCATGTGGCGTTGATTGGAGCTCGAACTGCCTCCGCTGCTGCTGCTCGCAGCACCCATGTTGCCCGATCCAGAGGCCAACTGCTGGTGGCCGCCATCGTGATGCTTCTTATTCGAGCCGCCATGACCGCGCCCGCGCTTGCCCGGCACAAAGTCCATCGATTCGTTGAAGTTCATGTGCTGAAACTGCGGAAGATGCTGCTGCTGCTGGTGGTTATGGTGCGGATGTATGATCATGCGGGACACAAACAGCTGCGAGATGCAGTCACCCTTCTGGCAGGGCACCAACGGTGGCTTTTGAGACACGGGCAGCTCGCATAGCTTGCGCAATTCGTCTATGCTGTATCGGATAAGTTTCACTGCAGTTGTGGCCGTCACAGGCGGTAATTCCTCTTGTTGTTGTTTCTTGCCTCCTCCTCTGGGCTTTGGCGAATCAGCATGTTTGCGTCTATTGTGTACGGGAGAGCTTTTCTTGCTGCTCGACGTGCTGCTGGAGTTGCGACCAGCGCTGCTGCCGCTGCTGCTTAACGCTGTCGATATATCAGTCGTAGTCGTACTCTGTTTGGGAGCGCAGTCCACGTAGTCGGTGCTGGTGGTGGTACTGCTGCTACTCTCCGTGATGGCAACCACCGCGGCGGCGACGGCTGTGTCTACGCTCGGCACCGATATGTGGCTGCTGTGCGATGAAAGCTCATCGCGTGGATCCTCGGTAGACTCCGTTACCGTCGAACTGGACCAAGTGGAGCTGCAGATGAAACTACTGCTGGTGGTCTCGATCTCGCGAGAATCGTCATTAAAGTCTCCAAACTTCAGATCAGCAACGGCGACACTCTCCTCACTCTTCGATTGCTCCACACTGCACTGCACCATAGATTGGCTGCTCTCCTCCTCTCCGCACGTCGAACCGCTGCTGTTGAGGAACTGTAGTTGTGGAGGCGTCTCCCCCTCCGGGGTATCCTCAGTGTTTTTGTTGGGGCTATTTGTTTGCAAGAATTTCGATACGATTTCATCGATTGGTATGTGTTGCTTTTCCTCCGCTACAAAAATATCAAAGAAAAGAAAAGAAAGAGATTTCAGGGTTAGATTTGTGCCTTTAGCAGGAATTCAATGGCAATGTACTCACGTTTTTCATTTCCTATGACTTCATTATTATCGTCATTGTTGTTGTTGTTTTGGCCAATCGGTGGCGGCTCCTCTTTGGGTTGCACGTTTTGTGGTTTGTCACTTAGACTAGAACTTACGCTAGAATTACTGCTAGATGATGCACTAAGCTTATCAGTCGTCGGTTGCGCCTTCTCTTCAACAATTGCTCCTGCTGCAGCCTCTGCCTCCCCTTTGGATGTGTCTGCTAGCAGGATTCCTCCTGCAGCTGCTGCTGCTGTTTCTTCTGTCAAAGTGATGTCAGAAGCAGCAGAGTTATTGCTGGTATTTGTAGCTGTTTCTGATGCTTGCAAGCTACCACTGGGGCTGTGGATGACGCTGCTGCCTTGACTCTGGTCGCTGTTGTAGCTTGTGGTAGATGTTGGTTTGTTCACTTTTTTCTTTTCGATTTCTTTTGCCCGTTTTACAGCCTTCCGATGCTTTTTGCTAGTTGGGTTGATGATTATGGCGCCGGTAAGCAGTGCCAAAGCTGGCGACATGCGAGTCAGTGGCTGTGTGTAAGCCACTGGGCCAGATCTTCCTCCAGCTTGGTTATGCTGCTTAGGCTGCTGTTGCTGCTGCTGCTTCCTCTGTTGTTGCGTCTGTTTAGGCTGATGGGTGGGCGTGGAGGCGGCCGATGAGGATGTTCCTGAAGTTGTTGTGCTCGACGATATGCGCTGCAGCAACGGCCGCGGTACATTTGCTGGTTTTTCGCTGGTTGAAATCAAAGGCTCGACCGAAGCTGCAGTTGGAATTGGAACTGCGGTGGTGGCAATGGATTTCGTGTTCTTCTGTGCTGTCAGCTGTTGCTGCTCCTGTGTCTCCAGCATCGATTCGTTTCTGTACAGAATGGTGACTCGCGATTTACCACTGGCGGCTGCTTCGGCCACGTCATTCGCTATAGATGCGGGCGTGGCGGTACCTAAAGTTGTTTAATTTAGTTTTAGTTCTGTCTGGATGTGGAGTTGTGCCTTTGTTCTTACTTTGTTTGTTGGCCGACTTGGGACGCTGCTGCTGGTTATGCTGCTGCTGTGGCGGCTGCTCTTCTTCTCGTTCCTTTACACTTTGCGAAGAATTTGACTCCTTACTGTCATGGGTCGCCGGTACATTATCCACTGTGAGGAGCAGAAATATAGAAATTTAAATACAATATGTCAAAAGTAATATCTAAGTATTTTCCTCAATCGGTCAAACTCATGCAATTTGTGACCTATTTTTATGCTGTTTTGTTTGCTTTTGTTTAACAGTTTCAAATTGAAATTTGTGTGGAAATTGTCTGTCTGTCTGTCAAGAACAGGTTCCTACGTTCTCTGAATAATTAGAGAATTAAATGTCAAAAGTGTTTAATGACTCACCATCGCTTGACTGCCAGAAACTGAGATGATCGTCGGTTACATGGCTCGCATTGGCCAGTATATCCTTGACAATGGTGCTTATCTGATCCTTATCCGTTGTACAGGGCGGCATTGAGACGGGCGAGTTGCCGTCCTGATCCCCATCTAGATTCACAAAGACTAGACCACCAATTTTGTCGGGCGAGGGCTCAACCACCATCATTCCAGTGCCATCATCCAACTCAGGCGGCAGCTGAGAGTTTGATGAAGAATCAACCGCCATTAGAATGGGAGATAGAACCTGGTACTGGTCCAACGTTTCATTGTCCTGCGATGTGTCTGGACTCGATTCCTTTTTAACAAACACCGAGCTGCTCGTATCAAGCACCTCATAGGTATCCGGATGTATGATCGGTATAGCATGACGGCGCTCTCGAACCTTCTCCGGGACAATGGTCAACGGTTGGCCAACTGCTACAGCTGCCGCTTGCGGTGCAACCAAAGGGGAGCCGGTGGTGAAGCCTCCCCCGGCAACGGCGGGTACTCCAGTTACTCCGCTCTGCACTGCACTAGCCACACCCCCCACACTCACACCCACACCAGGTGGAACTCCTCCAGGCACATTGGCCACTGCCAATGCTGGCGGAGCATTGCTGGTCGGCTGTATGTGTGGATTATATGCGTGCAGACCAGCGCCAACGCCTGGCGTTGTGGTTGTGGGTGGCACTGTCAGAATTTGCGCTGCATTCATCCCAGTGGGAGGTCCCAGGGCTAAGCCCGGAATAAAGTTCGGCTGTATATGATATGCAGATGGCCCGTTGAGTCCACCGTTGCGAGCGGCCATCATAGGCGCCACAGATCCTGGCGCTGTTTGGCCTACCATAGGGGAACGCGGTGTACCGGGTGCTACCACCGTATAATAGTTCTGATGCTGCGGCGTCGCCGAGCGCTGGCGTGGGCCCCTGTGAGAGTTGCTTCCGCTGTTCACATTGCTGGGGACCTGGTAGTACTGAATCTGGCCAGCTGCTGGGCCAGTGTTCAGCTGCTGTTGCTGGGCTGCCGTCTGCAGCTGCTTCTGATGTGACTGTGCGGCTGCCGTATAAAAGGCGGCAGCTTGGGCGCCGCCAGCTCCGTTCTGGAATTGCACCGTGGGCTGCATGCCAATCAGCTGTGCGGCTGGATTCAATGGTATGAAGGAGGTGGTCAGATAGGCTGCCGGTGCGGATCCACTTCCATTGCCGCCGGGGGTTGAGATCAGTCCAGCTGACTGCGAAAAGTGTGGCGGCATGCCCGTATTGTTTAGGGCCCGGGACAGGCTGGTGTTGCTATTGGAGGACGATAGCACTCCATTTCCATGCCCGCCATGGCCGACGTGCGTATGTTGCACCAGAGAAAGAGCAGAATTGCTGGCGGCGGCGCTCAATTGGGGTCCAGCGCCGCCGCCAATGCTGGCATTGTTGTTGCCAGACGGGTGGGCGACGAATCGATTAGGGGGATAGTAGAGCACCGGCTGTTGTTGTTGGTGAAGCTGCTGCTGCTGCTGCTGCTGTTGCTGCTGCTGCTGCTGCTGTTGTAGATGATGTTGCGCCGCCACTTGCTGCTGTTGCTGCTGTTGTTGCTGTTGTTGGTGATGTTGCAGCAGCTGCTGCTGCTGATGCGGATGAAGGTTGCTGTGATTGGTCACGTACAGGGCGTGGACCTGCTGCGGATCCTGTTGGACAATCTGCGTCTGCTGTTGCTGCTGCTGCGGTGTCGGATGATGCAACAGTGTGTTCCTTGTCTGTTGCTGCTGCTGCTGCTGAAGGTGATGGTGGTGCGAATGCGCCGTCTGGTGGTGGTTGTGGTTCTGATGGTGTGTTGACTGTGGCCTTGTTCCCTTCCCACCCCCTCCCGTTTGCAGGAACATGGGAGGACCTTCGCAGGATCTGCACGCACGCATTCACGCCGAGCACAGAAAGACAAAACCACACACACACGGCAAGTGTAACCAAATGCACCGGCACGAGCGGCGCCCAGCAAACAGAACAAATGTACAACAAATCGTTATGTTAGTAAGATGGAAATGGAAATGAAAATGCCAGTTTGCAGATTATTGTAAAAAGCGTTTTGCATGCATGTGGCTGTGGGTGTGGGTGTGTGGGGTATATGTTGGGTGGTGACAAACGAAGAAGGTTTAGGAGTTGGAGGAAAGCAACCCAAAAAGCAGCACTTCATGCAAATTAAACCGGTTTGTTGTTGTCCCACTTATGACTAACGGAATTAAGTTCTAAAAACAGTTAAGCAATATAGTATGCACTCTTTGCCTCTCGCTCTCTCATGCCACTCAATTGAACGGCTTCATAAATTGGCATGATGTCACACACACACTGTCTAGCGGCGGGGCGTGAAAATATCCGAACCGGGGGCGATCGAAGATGACCAACGCTCTGACATTCGCCGCTGCCTTATCTGCGGGTTTTATCAATGGCAAAACAGTTGTTGTTGTGGCACGTCTGAGTGTCGCTTAACAAACGGGCGGTCTTAAGCGATGACACACAACAACAGGTTGCAAAGGCGTTCAACACAACAACAACAACAAAACCAAACTTGAACAAAGAAGCATCAGAAGGACGTCCCCCGCGACTGGCGTGGGAGCAACCCCAACCTGTTTGGCAGTGCAACACCTTCCACGGCCCACATAAAATCAACAGTCAAGACCGGCAATGTAAATTCAATGGGGGACTATGCAGAATTTGCATTTTCCATAGGCAGTACCCACTGTAATGGTTTGGTTTCCATCTCCTCTTGGCCTAGAAAATTCATGGAATTTGGGGCCAACAACCATCTGACAGTGCAACCACCTCGCATTTGGGCCCAATGCACACGAGGAGTGGGGGGAAACCTGTTCCCAAACGAAGAAGACGCTGGTCAGGGGCCTTTGCCTCTGCCTGTAAACTTTGCTCGCTGCACTAGCAAGAAAAAACGAAAACTGCTTGCGCGGATATCTCGTTTCTTGTTTGTTTATAAACAAAAACCAGTTGGCGTCTGTGTGAGTGCAAAACAGAACACAACAGCATAGTAACAAAGCACAGAGCTCCGATTGGAAGTCCATTTTGGTCCGATTGGAAACCGCTGACAATGCACCAAAAGGAGAGAGGAAGAACGCACACAGAACGTGTGCGTGTGTGCGAGAGAGGGGAAGCAAAGGGAACGACAGCTCCCGAAAGGCGTAGCGAAAGCTTAGGAACAAATAATAGCTATGACAAATTATTTACAGTAAGAATATTATTATTTATCTAATTGTTATGGTATGTGTGCGTGTGAGTGTGTTTTTGTATGGGTCTGATTGCGCTTACCGCTTCCCGTGCTGCTTTTGCTGACGATGCGTACGCTGCGCTCTGGCTCCTGCTTTTTACGCTGAGGATGCTGCTGGTACAGCTACTGCCAAGCCCCAATGTGGGGCGTAATATGTCGAGGCTGCTGCTCCTTTAAGTCCTGGTCCGCAGCCTAATCCAGATTCGCCGTGCCCTGCCTGTGCTGCTGTTTTCTCAGTCGTCAGACTTTTGCGAATATTTCAAGCACCAAGCTACGTACGAAAACACGCGAGTTTTACACGAACATTCGCACCGACGACTGGGATGACTTGTATACGTACACATATATTTCGAAAAGATGTAGCTACTGCTAAAGTTCCACAGTAATTTTTTTTCTACAATTCAACGAAAAAGACAAAACCTTAGCTTCAATTTTGCAGGTGAATAAAGTTACAATTTTAATAAAACGGTTTGCAAATTTGACTTTTACTTGAGTCTCCGATCAAGGCCAGGCCTGATTTGCTTTTGTATCAACCAAAAAATTCGACTTTTTAATCAAATTCAGTTTTTCCTGCGACGAGGCGTTGCTTGTTGTTTTTGTCCCGTCGCCTTTTTTTCGTCGTTGTCTCTGTCGGTGTCTCGCTTTCGGTACTTACTCGATTCGCTCTCACACACAAGCACAAGCGCACATTACCATTACACAAAATGAGGGAAACGAAAAAAAAATGTAGTTCCACGCGGGGAACACGCTAAATGGAGTACTTGCACTATTGCTTTACATTAGTTCATTGTTTTCTGCACTTCGTTATGTATATTTCGTTCTATATTTGTTACAAACAATTTTGTAGTTTTTAATTGGTATTGGTGGATGGTAGTGTGACCGCGAAATTATCAATAAAATATACCGTCAGGGCCTCGTAAATATACCGAAATATACCTTTGCATTTTCAAAATATAATGGAAATATAGCGTGAATCTTAAATAATTTTCCTAGCTGCGATCAAAATCCGATCAAAAAAAAATATTAATTATTTTCCTCGATTTTTATGTTATATTTGATATTACTAGCTGGTTAGGAATCTCAGCGTTTAAAATGCAGTTTCACTAGAATCATCATTCAATTCCCCGCAAGTGTTGGGATATTGGGGATTAGTATTCTGTTTGATATTGCCATCAAATTAAGACTCTCGCCGTGGAACTACAATTTTCTACGTTTTTAGAATGTGTTTTTAATTTATTTGTTGCTGGCCACCCTGTAGTATGTTTCTTTCTATACCCTTTTTTCAATTTTTGTTTTAATTTGAACATTTCGTTTTTAAAGCTGTTCTTAAACATAATAATGGCTTGTTTCAATATTATGCCAAATTTGTTAAGATATCTCTCCAACGCAGATTTACTTGTTTTTTCATTGATTAGAGCCAAAGATTTCCATAATTTTCTAAATTCGAGAATTTCCTTCCCTCCAAGGGTACCAAATGTTGCTTATTCCATGAAAAATGTTGGGGAACAGTGCTGCTTAGTATTGCTCCCTCGTTGTTGCTATGAAAATTCCATGTTGCGACCGAGAAATATCCCTTCAAAAAAAATAGAATATTTCCTACTGAGAAGAGGGAAAGTTCTAGAGGGATATTTGAAAAACATACGAATAGAAGTTAGGATACCCTCCTATATTATTGAATATACCTTAAATATGGAATTTAATAGGCCGATGAAATTCATTATATATACCATTATATACCGATACACCGTAAACATACAATGAACTCAATTTCGTGGTCGAAATATCCTGATAAGTAATATACCTTAAATGGTCATCCTGTTTTTTCCAAACAAATATACCACCGATATGATATTTTTTGAATACTTGACAGCCCTATTTTCACTGTCGATGGTAATCATTATCGATATTTTCCCAGACGTCGTTTCCAGCGGAACTATCTATATAAATATACCAGAATATTCCTTCTCACTTTAAAAATATACTGTATCATACTTCTCGATTTGTATGTTCTAATAAATATTACCAGCAAGTTATGACCCCTAGCACTGTGCAGATTATTTTATCCAATAGAAAAATTAATTTTCTACAATCTAGCCTCTTTTAGAGATCCCTTGGTTTTGGATTGTTTATGAAAAACTGTTTCAACAAAGAAGACAAAGCAAGAAACCTAACCATCGATACTATCGACTCGGCTAGAGCGCGCGCCAGAATATAATTGTTTGAAAGGACATGTACTCTTTGAGAAACTTTCCTTGCAGAAGAAATAGGTCTGGAAAAATTAACTTATCCTGTCGGTATTTTATAGGAAATGTTTGCCTTCTTTTTCGGCAGAAACAATTATAAAATGGGAAACAAAATTGTCTGCTCAAGGAATCTTTAAGCTTGTATTCCCATTTTGGCTTTGTCCCTTTTTTGAGGGATTGGTAGTGGGGATCCATTGTTTTGCTGTTGGTGCTCACATGCCGGCATGTAAATTGCGACATCCTATATACAGGAATCTGCATCAGTGTGAGTGGACATGCGCCGAACAAAGTGACTTCCATGCGCGGCTGCCACTTCCCCACTTCACTCGTTTCGCGGTCATCGTGGAATGAATACTTGCAGTGTTTACGCGCCTGGTTCGTTCCTCCGCTTGTAGTAAAACTCTTGCTCTTTCTATTCTGTCGGATATGCTGTCATGGCCGCCGTATCTCCTCCCACAGTTCGTCCCTGGTCCACACACCTCCCACTTCCTGTGGCGGCTGCTCATTTTCGGCTGCCATTTCTGTTGTTGCTGCCCCCTTATCGTTCGAGCTCCATTTCTCGCCCTTCTTCCTGCAGCCTAGTCTTTGACCGGCCAGGTCTTGGCGCACTCTGCATTAAAATGCTACGCTGTTCTCGATGTCTTTCAAATGAGTTTTCCCAGACGTCTTAATATTTTTGTTGGTGGTCGAATTCGCTTGCATGGCAGCTTGGCGAGACCTTTAAGAGAATACTTTGTTGGCTTTTGCTGGTGGGTGTGCTGCCGCGCATTTATAAAACATCAGCAGGCAGGAACAGAAAGGATTATTTTGTGGCTGCAACAGCAAAAACAGTTTGACCGCAAATGCTGCTGTGTGAAGTCATTTACATTGCATGTTTTCCTGAATTTCGTTTCATGTATTTGTAGCTTCTGCGGTTCGAGGCGTGGCATGACACAGGGCAAAACTGACAGCAAAATGCAAATAGAAAACTGCTTACTCCTTCCAAGCTTTTGAATTCAACCGCCATTTAGTGCCTCCACCTGGCGCATTGCTCACAAACTTGCTCACATTTAAAAATACTAAATACAGAAAATACCAACCACGACGCGTCCCTTTCTTCCTATTGGAATTATAACAATCTGCCTCTTGCTCGCTCTTGTGTGAGCCCTCGGTTCGACTCAATCACGCTCGAGCCGAGCACAACTTGTATCCAACTTCGACTTGACCGTTTTTCCTTTAAGTTTGCAGTTTACTTTGCAAGGTGGGAGAGCATAACGAGGTGGCTACAATCATCGCCAAACAGCAGCTATCGATACTGGAATATATATACTAAGTATCAGTATTCTTGAGCTTGCTTCTATCAGTATTCATTTTCATCCACAAGCATTTGGCGCCCTGACGCCCTTGCCCTGACGCGCGCGTG